TTTCCAGGTAGTACACGTTCACTGGTCAAAATGCTTTTGAAGCCAGGTACGATTACCTTTTCAAGATGGCGCAGGGAACTGTGTACAAAGAGATATTTAAAGCTACAAACCTTTTTGGTTAAACAAACAAAAAAAGCAAAGAAACACGAAACAAGAAAACTGTAACAAACAAACAAAATATAAAAAAGGGAAACTGTTGTCTATAGTAGCTGCATATGCAAGATAAGCGTTTGAGCGCGTAGCATTAAATACAATTATTCRCAACTAAAACWATTGCTGATGTACAGGTAATTCAAGTAGTTCGTGGGTCGCCTCTGTGCTTTGATGGCAGGCACGGCTCAACATTTAGGTTTCTGTTCCAGGGTCAGGAGGTGATTGAAAGCTTCATGTCTTCAAACAACAACAACAACAGTTACGAGTAAATGATAACATATTTTCCACTCACTTAAACGCCTGTCGATTGTATACACAAAGACTCCTCCTGGCCATCGACGGTTCCTTATACCTTTTCTGGCTGAAGTTGAAGGTGCGTCCACATCCAAACCCATTCTAGCAGCTAAACGCTGTTCATCSGTTAAAATCATGTCACCCTCRAAAAGATTTGGATCATCAACWCCAATGTTTTCTGAAGAATGAATTAAATTTCTTATGGTAGCACAATACATAGGGTAATACAATTAATCATGTTCCAGCAGTTACTGCTCCATTTGCGCACTGTTTCTATCTTGATCAGTTATTTTTMACGCAAAGACTACACTCTTTTATACCTGACTCAATATACGAAAGAAAATAGATTATTTTGCACTAACACACCTTAGTTTTGTTGTTCTAGTATTTGTCTATATTGCACCTTGGCTATAAGTTTGTGTTATCAAAACACTCCTGAAGAGCATACCCTTCTATCTCTTTTGTTTTGAGTGTCGATTGATATGTAATTCTTCTGTAAAAATATGATTGTTGCAGCTAGGATTCATGATTAAAACATATATGTAGTTGTCTCTAGTTTAGTTTTTTATTAAGACGTTTCTGAAGAAGATCTGAGAGCAGATCGACTCGAATAAAAAACGAATAAAAAACGTCTGAATAAAAAACTAAGCTAGAGACAACTACATATATATGTTTTAATGTATTTCTTCTACCTAATGTATCTCACATACCTTCAGGGCTGTGCTGGGCGTACGCCACGCCAAGGAACAAAGCGACCAAAACAAACCTCATCTTGCAATTTCCTTGCAGATTCTGTGATCTTGCATGCAGTTGTTTGGATTTTATGCAAAATATTCACAGCTCAGCCAACAAGACTGCTAAGCTGAAGGGATACATGGTGACATGATGTATACAAACTYACTGAACATTTCTCAGGTGCAAGACAGGTGAGGCAATATCACCATTATTGCTCGCTTTGGATGAAATTACTCCAATATTGATGTCAATCATCGGGGATTTTGCCTTTATTAAAATTAAACAGAGGACGTTTGACATGCGATTTGCGTAGATATACAGCACGGTTATATGAAAACCATTGAACACTTGAGAAAATGAAAAATGTATTGGCATGAAAAAAAAAAAAATAACGAAACATATTGAGGTGGATGAATTCATAGATTTACAAATTATCAATCTCGTAAAGAGATGGGCCATCAACGCGATTCCGGATATGAAATATCTATATTTATCATATAATTATCTATGAAATACCTATATTTCTCTATTTCGTAAAATTGATATTTTCACTAGTGAAAATAACACATTCGAGGTTTCGCTATATAGTGGACATAAGAAAAAAAAGGTATTTTACGGCATAATTTGCTTTTACATGTAATTATATGATGAACAGAATATTTCATGTTCGCTTGGAGATACGAATTTTATCTTCTCGTGTTGAAATCTCTTCAACGATCTTTTCAACACTCGAAGATAAAATCCGTATCTCCGCTCGCCTATGTAATATCCTCTATATATMAAACAGTTTCAAGATCAAGAATTTGACTACACTGACTCCGTATTCGTGTTTGTCCATAAAGTGAAACAATCTCAAGCTATATCAATAGCTATCGTGTTGTTTGCTTTCTGGTGTGGTTGTTTGTTTAGACAGATTGAGATGGTGGTAAGARRCTCCACGCTAWATCACTTTTATCAGCACGATATTTTAACGTCTTGTTGTTCACCGTAAGAATATAAGAATACAAATAWTAAATGTGTGCAACTCTTTTCAACACTCGAAAGATAAAATCCGTATCTCCGCGCACCGTAATATCCTCTATAAGCATAATGGTATATCTTTGCTTTATTGATATTATTTCTCTCTATGTTATCTCCCGTAGAAGGTACAATAATGCGTTTTTTGACGTTTGCACGGAAAACATTTGTTGTTTTTTTTTTAAATAAAATCTCGAAGTATATAACGGACCTTGGATCATCATCAAAACTCTATATTTTGATGAACTTTAGGAAAGAGAAAAAGACATAGATCTAATTATCAATGTGTTTTTTCACACGTTTGCGTCATTAAAGAYCCATTATCAAAAATCAACAGTAAACTCAATAAAAGCCATGATTTACAAGTATCCACTAATCCTACGTCTATAAGCCAGTATTAAAGCCATTATGAAAGTATCCCAAGAGACTAGACCTGTRCTTTCAATGGATAGTTAACGGTCTGTTAGTGAACAATGCAAACAAACAAAGCATAAACAGTCGTTGTTATGGCTCATTGTATCAAACAGTTATTCGTATATTGAAAAACGCTCRTTCTTGCCAACAAGGCAAAAGTGTACAATCACTTTGACTCATTGCAGGCTTCTGATCGATCTACAATGATTTCATAGCATGTAATATTCTGRGATGCTGAAATACTTCGAAAGTTAGCCAAAAGTTCCCACCAAAATAATGACCTGTTGGTTTTCCAACAAAAAGTCCAGTGYTACTTTGTGTTAAAAGCAAACTGCTTTTATTCCTAACAAGTCGCCTGAATGTGCTTGGGAGCTTGTTTGAAAGAAAGCAATACAAAGACACTTCTCCTCAAAGCGCAACAGACTTCATAGTTCAATTAAATCTCTACAAAAAGATTGGTTATAAAGTGGTTGTAATCAAGACATCTAGTCATGAAAGTATTTTCAGCWCGCGTCAAAAAGGCGTCTTCMAGACAACGTACTCGATCACTTGACGGACTGGAATCTTTTTATCAGAGTTGTACATCGAAGGAAAAAGCAACTTCAAGCAAATCAACACGAAATACTCGTCTTGGACGCGAGTATGTTTCTAACTCGTCTTTGYACAGAGACAGGCTGCCAAGTTCTCAAAATGTTGTACCTTACGACATCTCCATGTTTCGTGCACATACAAGAGAAGTAAAATTCAGCGAAACGAACCACGATTCTTGGTACAGACCAGACTTTTGTACAAGACATTTAATGCGCAATAGCAACAAAAACGGACAAGCGATTGCTGTCAGGGAGAGAGACTATTGTGAAGTTCTCGGGAATAAATTTTGCAAGGCTTGCTGCAARACYAACGCGCGTAAAGAATGTAAAGAGGATTTTGATATGACGTATCTAGAACCAAAATMTGCACTAGRAACACAAGGAACAAGATCSATGACTCCTTTAAGCGATATTATACTATGCAAATTCCCTCCACTTCCTCAGAGCGACAGCAAAAGGATGTTTGTTAGGTTACATGAATTTCAACGAGTTCCACCTCAATACTACATCAAYCCTGTGGATGGCATTTACTCGCATGATCAATTATTCAATGAACAAGTCGTAGTAACAGTAGATGCAATTGAAACATCAAACGAGGGACAGACATTGTCGYCAAATATTGCCAGAAAAGAGACCTCAGTTGTCCAGGAAGATGAGAGTGAAGATATTGGCGCTAAAAMTAAGRACAGAGYTAAGAAATCTGGAGCAGCATTACGGCACTTTAAGGCCGTTGGCAATGCTGCACTCGTTAGCGTCCCAGTGAGAAAGTCTAACACATTTCTTCCTGAATTACATATGAGGGAGATACAAAAACAGATMAAACTCATCCTCAATGAGAGAAAGAACGAAAAGGACGAAACTTCTGGGATCACTGGAAGAGAGTCATTCAAAGACATGCCCATTGARCCTCCACAAATTACAGTCAACTTCGCTTTGGGAATYTATGACCCAAAAAAGAGACAAGTGAAAAGAGAGATTAGTTATTCAGCAAATTTATAACAAAAGTAACTGTCTTCATGTATTTCATGTTTTAAACTCGGCAAGAGCTGGTCAAACGACGGTTAATAGCACCTAAGTAAGCTCTTGAATGCAATGTGTGTTTTTTTTTTTTATCAATAAACCATTCACATATCTAGTCACACTTTTTAATACTTTGAAACGTATCTCAAGTTATATTATTGAACTTGAGTTCTTGAAGTTTTTTAACTAATTGCGTGATTATTCGACTCAATCCTGAGTGAACTAGCGGAATCACCATTGCAATGTACCTAGCCTCCACAGGCAACCTAGCCTCCACAGGCAACTCTTTTTTTCCTCCTTTGGGCTTCCTTTCTAACGGTCATCCTGGCCCGTGATTCTTTATGATGCCTTTCCGAGGAGGCTACAATGTATCATTCCTTCAGATGTTTACGAATCACTAGTTTTATGTCTTCCTGTCGTGTCGTGTGCTGTTCTGTTTCGTGGCATTTCGTGATGTTATTGTGTTAAAACACTGGATAGAATAGGATAGGAACTCTTTATTTAATGAGGGTAACACTGAATAGTTTGGTAAACTAATTATCTTCAACAATGGCCCTGAACAAAGCACAAAAACAATACACTTATTTTGTATAAAATTTATATACAGGTAATATAAACTATAAAGCAATCATGAACACCCCACTAAGTTATTCTTGTTCGTTGTCCTGGTAACAAGAGGGTGGCAGGCATGTGTTCGTATTGTATGTGTAAGTCACGTGGGGTGACTATGTAGCGGGTGTCTTTTTGTTTCATTTAATTGTTATAAACAGCTATMAAGGGGATTTTGTCAAGGGATTTACTAATATTGCTGTAAGTTGTATATTTTAATAGATTATTATTATAACTCCTTGTAAGGTTTGGATTAATTATAATTGTAACCATTCATAAGATATTCACCATTTGGAAAGTCAAATGTACTTTAAGAACCTAAATCTGATTCTACTTGATCAATCGGATTATAGCTTCGCCAAATCTTAAAATGACTTCTTGAATTTCTAAAATATGTTTTTTAACCATAGTCATTCAATTTTGGTACTAAAGCGATTTAAATAAGACGATTTGGTATAGAGAAAGTAAACAATCAAATAGATAAAAAACGACYGGTTTTCTTTTGCGTGTATTTGAYAATTTCTTGTTGTTTTGGTAATATATACTAGTATTATTCTACTGATTTTTTCAGTGATGTAGTGAAGGTGTGAARTAGTAGCGGTGACTCAGTTTTCTTTATTGTTACAATTATTTTCATCCATTTTACATAGTATTTTTCATCTTGTCTTTCAAACTTTAGTGCAAACTTAATCTATTCACCTTGTAAAAAATTGTATACATGTGTTAACCTGTCTTAAATTGAAATGTTAGGGCTTATTATCGCGTGATATTTGTCATCAGGTACAATATGGGACCGCGCTGTTCTGTTTTCCTGGTCATCTGCCTGATGAGCATGTTGACGACATTAATGTGTTATCCAACACCTGGTAAGGACAGTCATTGACATTTTTTGGGCTTCCTTTGTCCCATGACACAGGGAGCTCGAAAAAAGTGATTGATCAGTTTCTATAATCCAATCTATTGTWTTTTTGCTTTCAAGATGACGGATCAGGACATGATGCCCAGCAAAAAGGTATCAATAGCTTAACTAAAAGGAGGGAAAATATTGCCCACTTCCTTTCATTTTCAAACGGTCTCTCAATCAGCTTCAATCATTCAAGGTTTTTATTTATTTTCCAGGAAAGATTCCAGGAACCCTAAAGCTAACATCAACGATACCAGTAGAAGCCGATAACAGCCAGGGACTTTATATGCATTCACATCCTGGTTTTAAACGATTTCTTGGATGTATGTGGTCCTTGAATACTGCTTTGTTTTCTATCACACTGATACGTGTTGAACTTATGACAGTCGCTTCTTGTTTCTGACGATAACGTTAAGGGCCAAAAATACCTGCAGACGTGTTGAGGATGTTGGTCGTCTTACATTTTTATTGTGTTTATTTATTCCAGCTCCACACAAGGCGATGCATTCGCAGTACATGCATTCAATGTTCGGTCGTGGAAGAAAGAGATCTCTTTCTGACAAAATGATGAAGATTTTCAAAATCAGGTTAGACCAGAAAATTAGTACAGTATTGCGTTGTGAGTGAGGGGCGCAGGGCCTCACGAATAGCGGGCATGAAATGTGTTTTATAATGTTATCTCTGAGGCTTTCAGTCTAATTGATGTGGAATTCATATTTCTTTTAGGGACTAACCTAGTCCTACAGCTTGGATGTCAGCATGGATCAGTATGGACGACTGGACTTATACAATGACAAGAGCGGTTACATGAATTAGCCTTTTATGAATATTTTGTATTCAAACTGAAAAAAGTACATATTTTTATAAAAAAAAAATTATTTGGCATTAAATCAYATCTTAAAAAGGACCAAGGGTTACGAAGATTTTAAGTGATAGGTATTATAATTAAATTAATAAATCTGCATKAAAAGAGTTGTTTATAAAGTGATTCCTGTGTCATTTTGAGTTGGGGGAGCCTGGGACCTAAACACTGAGCACGCGCGAAAGTTGAACAACTTGACAAGTTTGTTCGATATTTTGTGCTTAAAATATGTTCCTTTATGCTTTGATTGATGAAATGCAGCAGTTTCTATATCAGGTATGGTTGTATTCATGGATCTATAATATCAAAGTAAGTGTGTTATCAGAAAAATCAGGAAAATKAGCTGGTGGTCATGTTAAGATTATCAAAAGCCGACTAYAGATTTAACAACGTAGAATGCATTGCATTTCATTTGGTCTGTGTCCATAATGGCTCATATATTCTTCTAATTGCAGTAATCTCATTTAAGTTTTGATATTATATGATTGCAAACGACGTTTAAGATTATCAACAACAGTAGTCCAGACGTCTGTCGAATGATAAAACTTAGTTTTTTTTTACTATTAAACTTTACATAAGTTATTTACATTACAAATTAAACCATTATTTAACTACATCTTTATTATATCATGATATACTTAATTATTTTTATATTCTTAGTGAATGTAGATTCTAATAGAAACCATAGAAATGTACAATCTATCCAATATGTTCCTCTGATTTGTAAACGGTTTGCAAAAATATATAAGTGCAAGTAACCTATTACAAGTCTACTATAAACTGTWTTTTACACTAATATAGGTTTTTATAGTGCTCCGATTGTTCTCGATCCACTTATATAACTATTTAACAACCTTATTCCCAGGGAGGCCACCAAATGAAGAGATAAGGGCCTGAAAACTSTGCACTTTGAAAACCCTTCATTGTGAACATTGACTAGGAATWTTTTCTACAGTATAATCAGCTAGTTGTTAATGTTCTTGTACCACATATAAACCGTCTAAAGGACTTTCTTCTCCAAGATCCTGTAGAATCTTCTGTTCCTTTAAAAGCTTGTAGTTTTTCTTTGCACTTTCTCTCATTAATTGACAAACTTCTCATAGAGAAACGCATCCTTGAGTTCCTTGAAAAGTGTTTTCCTAATGTTGACAATTTGCTGCGTTTGATTTTTCTTGTCAGCTCCACAAACACGTCGTCAACACCAATGTCATCCTTGGCAGAGGTTTCAAAAAAGGAGCAAGAAAATTTYCTGGCTACTCGTTCACCCTCTTGATAAGTAAGYACACGRTCATCATCTAAGTCGCACTGGAAKGCAAAGATGCTATTGGTGAGAAATCARTCTTCAATGGTTTAACTTTCTCTTCTGCAGTGTACTTCTCTCCATCTTTCTTCTTTTCTCATTTCTTTTCCTGCTCTCTTTCCCTCCCATCTTTATCTCTCCTCTTCCTTTCTTTCTGTCTTCCCTTGAATTCTTATCTTAGGTCCTACTTCTTTCACAACCTTTTTTCATTTTGCTCATCCATATTTCCTTCCTTCACACTCTTTTTCCTAAATCAACCCCTTCCTTTTCACACAGGTCAGTCCCTGCTTCAATCAAATGATCAATGCCTTTGTTGTTTTTTTTAGTTTAGGAGCTCTTACCTTGTTTCCAACAATTACAATAGGTGTATTGGTGCTGATCTTGCCTTTCTCGCCCTTCACTCTTAATATATGATCTCTCATGGCAGAAATGGCCTGCAAACTCCATTTGTCTGTCACAGAATACACAAGCAGAAAACCATCCCCTGACTTGATGTAGCTGTCTCGCATTTGACTGAACACTCCCTATGAAAGAATACGTGGCTGCTTAAAAAAATATCAGAAAATGGAAATATGGTAAGAATAGCTAACAGGCTTTGCTGATTATCAATTGGACTAGATTATGACTCCTTGCATACCAAGTCGATGGTGTGCTCATTCAAGGGCGTGTCTAAAACACAAGGTTTTTTCATTTGTTGAAGGCTTGGGTGTAACACGTGGCTATGTTCAAGGGTGTGGTCTGAACACATTTCTGTATACTTACATGGCCAGCGGTATCCACTACTGACAGGTCTACACGTCGTCCATCTAGTTCAACAATGGTGTCATATGTGTCTTCTGTACGGGTAAGAAAAATTATATCTTTAAAAATCAAATTATAACCCTATTACAAAAATCMACTTGATAGCTACAATTAGTTTTGAATATCAACGATGCCATTTGTACCTTAAGCAAGTACAYTRATAAATAAGACGTTTATATTAATCATTTATTGTAAGAAACGTGGCGTTGATAYCGCCTAAGAGCATTATACTATCTAGTTCTTACCTATCGTGGGCTCGTATTCTTCTGGAAACGTCTTCTTTGAGTACTGTTGTGTTAGAGCTGAAAGAAAGCGATTTATACGTTACACAAGCTCAGATATTATCTATCGTTGTCATCACTGTACCATGACATCATTCAATGATGATGATTATAACTCTACGTCATGTATGACGTCATTAATGTCGCATCGTTGCTGATAGCATATATTTCTTCATCTAGTTTCGACACTTCTTACTATAGCAGAGATTGGATATATAAAAATCCACTGATACTAAAATAGAGATTGTTTTATAAATGCAGTTTTCTCGATACTTTACTATAAAGACAGATTTCTTTCAAGCGGTCAACACTGATGAACCACAAAACATCTAAATTAAATATAATTTCCTTGGTTCTGATATCTAATTGCTCCATCTAGCAATAACTAAAGAATATCCATTAAATCACGATTCCATATCAATATGTCATACATATATTGTATAAAGTCTTTCATTGCTAAAACGAGACGGTCTGACTACAAGCCACATTGAGTTCTAGTGGGTTTTGAAGTCCTTTGTTGACAGCACAATAACTGAAGTACAGTGATATGACATTGAGTTCAATACTAGTTGGTCTTGAGCTATTTATGCCCGTAAACTGACATAAGGAGGTTAAAGGATTCAATRTAYTGTGGCAAGCATTACTCTAATTCTATGTACAAAAAAAGTGATTCGTGAAGCATTTAAGGTGAGAGTCTACAARCTTAGGGAGTTGCCCAACATTTCTTTTAGGGCGTTTGATGACAAAAMAAAATATTGGATATTTGAAAATGGAATATGGATGAGTGGGACGTTTTTCAAAGCAATCATGGCTATATTCATAAGTTATGTCACATTTGAACAATTTTTTATTATTTCCAACAATTTTAATTTCCTTCAAATTGAAGCAAATTGACATTTCTATCGATGTTATTTTTTTAATTTCCTTAATGTTGGCACCATTTTCTTTCGACAGAAAGCTAGGTACATTCTTGTCACTTCCATCTTTTCTGTTCGATTTCCTTTCRTGCACTCTCARCWATGAAACGATTTGAACAACGAGATATAACTATGTTAAAGAATAGTAAAAAACGAATATTAAAACAACCTTCGCTGTGGTTATGTGGAAAAACTTTCCATAAATTGTGGTTTAAGATCTAATCTTACACCTCTGAAGCCAGATTGCCCTTTGTGTTCAGGCCGATCAATTCGCCGAATAGACGCTGGTCAGTCTTCTAGAATATTGTTTTTTTTGATGAAAAAGATGGCAGCTAAAATAAGCGGACAAAATATGATTGAACTTGAACAGTTGAAAAGCAAATAGCCTTAAATAGAAAACGGAAAATCGCCTTAATTGGCGAATTGAAGTGGACTTACACAAGTCTTATGACGTCATAATGCAATTAGTTCGATACAGAATARTGTTTTTTTGAACATAAGTCACTAAGGAACAATTTCCCGTACAAAGAACGCTGTGAAAATTTAAAAACTTATTGAATTGAACATTCTAGAGTCAGTTTTGGATGACTAAAAAATCACATTCACTTTTCTGTAATTGCTATTTCATGTTAAATTCAAACAGTGTGCGACATTTTATAATSAAAGCAGTCAATACTTTGACATTCCCTTGCAAACTTCATGTCTGGAAAAGAAAACTTAATTGATTTTGCTTGGTTTGTCAGTGCTAGCTGTACAATCAACGCGTTATAGTACGTCTCCCTTGGAGACTAAAAGCAAACTCGATTCTCTAATTGGTCATTATTTATACCTCGCCAGTTGATAGTTATCATATGGTTAGCCAGCGCAAAACTGAGAAGCTTTTCAAGAGAACTTGTATCGTTTTTTAGCTGGAAGGTAAGACTCTATTATAGGTTGTAATATTTATAATGGTGTWCTATAATGTCTGTATATAGCCATTTATTGGATAACGTTCCCCCTGTTATCTGTAAATGTTGAATACGTTAAACGATTTGTCTAAGTTGTGGAGAGCAGAACTGAAATGAAGAACGTAGAAAACATAATAAAATACTTATTCGCACACTACAGATGAGTTAGCGGAACGTGAAAAACGAAAATTAGGAGAAAAATAGGGAAAAAAAGAAAACCTTCGAAAAAGGTACTGAACAAAGCAGAAAGGAAACTCGAGATAAGCTTTCAGCTTCTCTAAATGTCTATCAAATAAGTATATTCCTTTTCCTACTTCTCAATGAAGAAAGCTTATTTACCTTGAAAAATACATAATTGTCGCCTTAACCGTTTACTGGAACTTTCGTTCGAGATGAAATCTGTTACTAGGTGTTAACATTTCAATCAATCTTGCTGATTCTCTTTTTTGTTATGTTTACTTTTACATAACGCGCTTTATATAATAGCACACTCTTCTAAATCGCATTTCCTAGTTTCTTCAATGAGAAAAATATCGTATTCTATTCCATGATGTTTCACTTACTTTATCGCTTTTGATACTTATGAAATCATAAAGACTGCATTATCATAAGAATCAAAATCGAATTTTATTGAAACACAATAATTACGTAGTTTAAGAGACTGATAAGATTAATGAAAATAAAATGAGAAGGGAATGGAAGAAAACTGGGAATAGAGATATTCAGACAAAGATTCTGTGTGATTCAGAAACGATGTTGACAATYGGATGCGATATTTAACTATACTGATCACAAGATGAAGTCAAATCTAGAAAATCAAATAAAAATCACTAAAAATTTATCTAAGGATATGATTGGAGGAAAAATTCAAGTGTCAATGATAGTAAAATGAGGTTAAGATTGCATAGTGAACAGAGGTGAAGGTTYGGTATAATTCTTATTATTTCATAAATATACTCACATCTAGGATAAGCTAATTAAATATAAATAGTCCAACTGTATCTGGTGATCAGTTTTTGATAAGTCAGACTCAAGAGAAAGACTTTTATTGTTCAAGGGTTATTTATATATTTCTTGAATCACTGTTCAAACAGCGGATGTGAGCAATTATTGTCACMGTCATTATTTTTCTCGTTATTGGAAGATAATTAAGATAAAGGTACTGGAAAAAAACCCTTCAGTCGAGAAAGATGATTTTGAAAGTGTAAAATCTTTACCTAGGTATGTGTGCTGTATGAAATCATAGTTCTGTATGGTTATATGCGTTGAGGTAGCGAAGGGTGATAACATTTGCGCGGAATATGAAATCGTTGGTATCGCTCTATTTCATAATTCAAAYATCCATTGTTACTTTTTAACATAAAGTTAAACTACATTTCCATGGGCATATCGTGAAAAAAAGTAATGTGCATTTTAATATTTTCTMTCTCTAATCGAAGTAAAATGTGTGTGAAATGTAAATTTTTCTTCCTTAAGTTCAAGTGTAGGTTATCAAATAAACAATTTCCTTCTCTCATGGTGCCAGTGCCTGGAGGCCAAGATCTTCCCCCATAGTTTGGTTGTATGGGGTAAGAAGATCTCCCACATGGTCTGTTAATTACACAGATAACGATTTATTAAGGAGAAACATTAATACAAAGAAACGTCTATGAAAGACAGCGGTCTGTTAATTTACAGACCGCATTGTTCCGTGTTCGTTTTACTGAGGGCAGTACCCTATGTGATGTCAATAGTATATAG